CTTTTTGTTGTTGTTAGGGTTGAATGTATGCTTTTGTTTTGTTTCATTTTGTTTGTTTGTTTTACTGTTTTGTATTTTATTCTCTATGATAAAACAATAAATAATAAATAAAAAATAGTATACATCCAAAAACGCATATATCCCTAACTCTGTGAAGTGAGATGAATTAACCTAAGTCCAACACATGCCCAGATGCTGTTAAAAGGTTAGGTTTCAGCAAGGATTTGAGGACTGCAAAATTCTGTTACTTTAATTATAATATTTATTAAGAAGCAAAATAAAACAGAAATTAGATTTATCTTATTTGGATGATGTGTATGTGTCCCAGTTTGCTACCTGACTTCCTCAGTGAAAGAAAATAAAAGGAAATGAATGGGGAAAAGGGAAAGTAGAAAGACAAGACAAAAACAACAGACCAATTTGTATAATCTCAAAACCAGATATCAAGTACAACACCAGCTGCCATATTTTTACCTACTTTGTAGGGCTGCAGGTATGTAAGGCCTTCAAATGAGGCTTCCAGGTAGCAATGGAAACCGATTTCTCATCAGCTGCATAACTACGCCATACACACTATGTGCAGATATATGATAAAAGAAAAAGGCAAACAAAAATGGAGAAGCGTATTAGTAAACCAATACAAGTATTGTTTTTTGTAGCATTCATAGCACTGATACATGCCTGAGGGATGGAAGACTATATTCATAATATCGCCAGGTAGCTGTCAGGTTTGTTTGCCTTGAATCGGTAGAATAAAACCGCCAAGTAGCCTGATTTGAGGAAACAATAGAAAGTACAACAGATCTAACAATATATGAAATGAAGTACTATTAATAGGATGGAAAATTTGGATTTCGTTCAAACTGGATACAATTGGCTTAATCAATTTGGAAGGGCTGTGCTTGTACAATGTAATGAAGATTTGAGGTTTAAGGATTTAAATATAGAAGAAAACAATACATAAGGAAGTTCTAGTTATATATGCTAGCAATCTTGTATAGCAAAATCTTCAAGAAAGCCTTTTGCTATAATTTTTTTTCATGAGTGCAATTGACTTTTTTTCTTCACATTAGCAATAGTATAGTCTAGTAATAAGCTGTATTCTCGTCTGCATAAAATGAGTAACAATGAAAGAGAAATTAGGGAGATTATTAGCACACGTAGTTTCCTTTTTAAGGAATCCTTTCAAATGTTTTTATCTTATATACTTTTATGTCCGCTTGTCAAATGCCCATGATATTTTGTGGTGATTTTCTATCTTGGTTACTTGTCTCAAATGTGCCTTTTCTCAAAAGGCAATTGGACTATGGTTTTTTTTTCTTTTCCCTTGAGGAAGAAGAAAATGTTTCGCTTCTCATCCAAGAAGCTTCATTAGTACTGATGAAGCTTCTTGGATGAGAAGCAAAATGTCTTCTTCCTCAAGGAAAAAAAAAACACCACAGTCCATTTGCCTTTTGAAAAAGCACCTTTGAAGCAATCATGACCTGCGTAACTGAGAATCTCCATAGACACCTTAGTTACTTATTTTATTAGATTAGATTTAGTAGATTATTTAGATACTGCTTATATGGACTGTAAGTAACTTGCAATTACAAGATTAGAAATGTAGAGATCAATCATTTCAGGCCAGAATTCAGTCTACTGTGGTAACCCTTCAACAAAAATCATGCCATCCATCAAATACCCAATTAAAAAAGGACCTTCACAGCTTTCACAAATACCAGCAAATGGGGCATGGAATAGTTCCTGCTTCATCACAGAACATTAGGCTAAGTCAGAAGTTGATAACTGGGCATTGAGTATTTGAAAATAAGACAGTTGCAACATGTCAATCAGTATAAATAATAAAGTCATAAATTTATTTTAAATGATGACAGTACAAAAGGATTATAGTTTTAGATACATTATCCTAACACACATGGCTGACAGGATATATTTTCACAAGGAACTTGTCTGTTAATGCTTTTAACCATTAGGCAATGCGATATCCTCGGAATATAAGTGCACAAAATGATCTGATATTATAAATGTCCTATTAATACTTCTAAAATAAAGATTTATTATTCCTAACTTTTCAGATCGTTTCAATTGTACGATCGAAGAAGCTATTTACATCCAGTGCAAAAATATAAACTGCTTTCATCATGGATGTCTAACATAGTTATAAGAGAAAAGTAAGACTCAAGCAATAGTCTGCTCTCTAAATGACTCTTCTGTACAGTCAGCAACTCTGCAGTCCCGTGTTCATTTATCTGGGAATAAATCCTACTGAACTCCATTGAATATATGTGTGAGTGGACGCATGCAAGTGGAAGGATTTTTACAGTGGGCTTTGGGATAGAGATCCTTACTGAACAGCCTTCCCAAACTTGAATCCATGCGGATGGTTTGCACTCAGTTCTCTTCATCTCTGACCATTTGCCAGGCTGGCTGAGGATGAAAGGAATTCTAATCCAAATAACTCAAGGGACCCAAGATAGGGAAGGCTGCTGTAAAGAAGGGAGAATGTGTGTCACAACCTCCTCTTTCAGTTCATCTGGCATGAATCTTAAGATATATTTACACTCACAGCTAGCTCTGGATCAAATGAATTGGGGGCTTTCATTCCCTGCTTGGTCTGGCCTTCTCACATTCAAGCAATATATACCATCTAGGGGATGTTTAATCACTAGATTAAGAGTAGGCACTTTTAACTACTGTGCCATCTAGCAACTTTATATAAGTTACTAGCTGGTGGTACAGATAGACAGAGAGGCCATATCCTCTTTTTCCCTTCAATATGAACAGAGATCTGGGAATACCAAAGTGTATTTTAACCTAACTGCTAACACTTGGGTAATACTATATATTTTTTCATGCTGTTATTCTTTATAATCTTTATAATGTACAGCATGCAGCATAGCCTACAACCGTACACTGGGATAGCCTAGAACTAGTTCATAGTATAATAAAAATTCTAACAAGCATTTTTCCTTTTCAATAGCATTCTGTTTGTGTAGCACTCTGTTTGTGAGTAGGAAGTCACTGGCTGCTTAGCCATTACCTCTAAGAGAAGCATAAACAACAGTCCAGCAAAAGGCTGAATCATCTCTCCGCAGAGACATTTGGCATTTCTGTTCCATAGCTGTAATCCAGCATAATTTGAAAGCCAAAATCCCTTAGAAGAGATTTGGAAGAACAATGTCAGGAACCAAAGAATGTGAGAATAATTCTGTGCCCCTATATATCATACATTACATAAACTAACTCCCTTCAAAGGAGTGTAATCATTTTAACTGTAAGATGCTGGGTATGAAGAAAGTGAAGGAAGTCATTCAAAACAAAAAGAGAATAACTGTACTAATAACAGGACAATTAAAACGTCAACTATTCAGACATTTAAATACATTTTGATTCCTTCTACATGACAATATTACTCTAATGAATTCAACATCTTAAGCAAAAAAATCCATTATATGCAATCATGCAAGCTACGCAATAAATTCTTTGGACAAAGGTCTCTTTATTCAAACTAAATATATTTTCCCTGGCATATTGTCAGAGTTCCACTATTTATGAATTAATTGAATATATAGAAATGTAGGTATCATACATTAATCTATCATTAGTTATCAAATATACTATATTTATTGTAATTCTAGTTACTGAATCTCCATTCTTTTGAAAAGGTTACTTGCTAAAAATACAAAATGAAATTCAAACTCCAAACAAACAATGGATGAAAATAGAAACTCTGATTATTTTAAAGGGAAGTACCAGAGTTTGATTAAGGGCCACTTGGCTTAGCATATTGTGTGAACCCAGCTGATGTAATTTGTAAGCCATAATTTATGGATTAGCATGTTCTATAACAGGGGTCTTCAAACTTGGCCCTTTTATGATTTGTGGACTTCAACTCCCAGAATTCCTCAGCTAGCAAAGTCCACAAGTCATAAAAGGGCCAAGTTTGAAGACCCCTGTTCTATAAACTTAACTGCTTGAGGTTTGTAAATCACAATTCATCGCTTACCTAGTTGTGAGTCATCCAATAAACCATTCTAAGTAGATATCTAGTTTGAGATGTTTGTGGATTGTTTAAAATGTATTAAATGGTTTAGCAAATGGGTTTGGTAAATCATGGTTTAGCAAATGCATTTGATATGATACATGAACTTAGTTTATATGTGAAATAGCCCAGCTGTTTGATTACATATTTGCACACGATTCCTTTTTCAACTGGAATTATGGATGTAGAAACTTGGTTTTTTACTTCCTCAACTGAATTGGAATGAAGAATGAACAGGAATGATCATTCCTAAATATATATATTTCTTTGAAACCTGGCACAATTGAGCTTGTAATATTCATTATCAAGAATTTTTGAAAATCTGCTTCATTTGCTACTTACTTGAATTAAACTGGCAGCAGGATTTCTTCTCTTTTCAAAATGTTTCTGACGATGCTGTTCCTGTACTTTTAATGCAAATCCTGACCCTAGAATACCCTTAAGTGCAATACAACAAATGTTTATAATCAGAAAAATATTTCTGGTAACAATTAAAAACATACAATCTCAAAACTAAAATAAGAATTATACAAATGACCTGTATGTCATAGCATGGTTTGGTTCAATATTTGAAATGACATTATTGGACCAATATGGACAACATCAGGTGCATCTAATAATCATATGGGACAGGATTCTGCCAAATTCCTACAAACCAGGAAACAGGTATAATTTAAAAAACTGTAAGAGTGGGTAACATGGAAAGTTCTGAATTCTCCCTTTGCCCTTACCTTTATTGTTGTTATTACTGTTAGTGTAACCTCATTTTTCCAGTCAGTTTTCTCTTGGTATAAGTTTATTTCCAATGCTGTTATTTTCTAAGTATTTTACTAGGAAAGAATTGAGAAAACCAGCTTTGGGGGAACTAACAAGCAAACTTAGTTTTTTTATCTAATCTTTCTTGATTAGGGAATTTCATTGTCACCTCATTGCTCCTCTCATTTTCTACATCCCCAATCCTCTTCCCCCAAATAGTGGGGAAATTTTGTAAATAGTTTAGGAAGAATGTTAGATCACTTCTCTTCATGTTCCCACTAATGGAAGCCTTTGCTTAAATTGCATTATCAGCAATTTGATTCTGATAGAACAATTGGCCATCATAGTCCACTTTTCTAGTGACTCTTCTTTAAGTATGCAACTACATTGAATGTTGTCAATTCAAATTTTCATACTGCAGCAACTACTTTTCTAATGTAAAAGGAATGACAGAGCATGAGAGAGCCACTTTGGTCTGGTGCAGGGGTGTCAAACTGGTGGCCTGCGGGCTGGATGCATCACCATGCCCATTCCAGCTCCGCAAAGGCAAAAAACGTTGTGACACTATATCATGTGAAACGATTGAGTCTGACACCCATGATCTAGTGGTTAAAGCACCAGGCTAGAAAGACCATGAATTCAAGTCCCATCTTAGCCATGAAAGCTGGCTGGGTGACCGTGGTCCAGTCACTCTCTCTCAGCCCAGCCCGGCCCACCCCACAAGTTGTTGTTGTGGGGAAAATAAGAGGAGGAAAGTGTTGGATATGTTCATCACCTTGAGTTATTTGTATATAATAACTTGTTGTCATGACCTTCAACTGAGTGAAACAATGCATCATAGGACAATTGTTGAACAAGATATCTCAAATTTCAGAATGTGTCCAAAATCTGAGAGCCATGAGTCCCAAGAAAATGAAATTTGGGAAAGTTATGTCTGCTTCAATGCTACTGGATGCTGCTGCAGTCATGTGATATTCATTTTCATAGTTCAATGATAGTATCCCATCTAGTCTTGCAATTCCTTGCTCTCTCCCCCACCCAGCAGCCAGTGAACTGCCTGCTGGAAAGGGAAGGGATGAAGGAAGGAAGGAAGGAAGGAAGGAAGGAAGGAAGGAAGCAAGGAGGGAGGGAGGGAAGGAATGGAAGAGAAGAGAAGGAGGCACTGGAAAGAAGGAACCCTAATACAACTTTCCTGACTGCGCACCTTCCTTGAACTGCAAGTACCTCTTGTGCAACCTTATGCATTTTCCACAACCCAAGCTAGCCCCTCACAGAATGTCCCTGACTTGCATGGCATTTCTCACATACTCCCAAGCACACACAGGCACCCTTCCCTACGCGCAAACCCAATGTATTCTCCTTGAGCTGTGCAGCACCCCTCACATAACCCCATGACCGTCACACATCCTTGATCAATGCTGCCTCCTGCACATTGTACCCAACTTATATGGCATCTCTTGCACACACACCTGCATCCTTTCCGACCTGTGCATCATCTCTCATGTACAATTCCTGACCTACACCCTAATGCACTCGCTCATTCCCTTTCCCACCCAGCAGCAGCCATTTACCTGCCTGCTGGGTTTGGACCTGGGACTTCCTGCTGGGTTCCCCACTGATTTTCTCTCTGCAAGTTTATCACAAGCAAAATAAGTGGGGAAGCCTTCAGAAATTCTAGGGAGGGAGGGAGGGAGGGAGGGAAGAAGGTAGATAGGTAGGTTTCTGATGTTTTCTATCAGCTTCCCATAAAGAAACTCAATGGGAAAGCTGGTAAGAAATTAGAAGTCGCTCCTGCTCCTAATGCTTTTTTGCCCATATGCGATCATTCTGTTATTTTGTTTAGGTAAGGAAATATTTCTGAAATGATGACCCAACAGGGTACGGGTTTCTAGTCCGCAGTAAAACAGAATTCTGCTTAATAGAAGCCTGAATCTGTTTTTGCTATGTACAAAACAGTTATTTTATTAATTCTACCAGTTATGTAGTTTTATCATTGCATATTACAGCTAAAGAAAAGCACTAGTATATTTATCATTAACCTTAAATGAAATTATGTTAATTTGGTATTTGAACTAGGGAAGTTCTTTATGTTTATATCAACTTAATAAAAGTGTAGTATCCCACATGCAAGTAAAATGAAAATGTGGAATATTATTTGCATATGTTTAGAAACTGATTATTACTAATGGAAAATATCAAAGATACATGCTTGGCTGTGCAGAGACCTCGATTTGAAGGACTCGGTATAATTTAGTTACCGATGAATGTGCATGAAGCTTCTATTAGGAACACCGTAACACAGCCCTCCACTGAAAAAAACACATTTGTCTTAAAGTATTCTCCTCTGGCATCTTAAGTGTACCCATGTGTGCTTTGAATCAGATTTTGCTCTTCAAATCCAGATCACTGGAGATCTCTAGAATATATGTATGCGGTTACATTTATGGCACAGTTTACTCCATCTACTGCTATTTGAAATTGCTAAAACTTTCAAGCAGGTGTCAATATCTGTTTATGGGGAAGCTTAACTTTTAGCTATGAAAAGTCACTGGAATTTCAGCAGCCAAACAATAAATTTTCTTGAAGAGCATTAGTTAGCAGCTGAATCAGAAACAGCATCTACTCCTAGGTAAATGCTTCAGTGGAGTCCTTGATTCTCTCCAAGCTTGGTTTTTGCTTGCAGAAGTTTCATTACCTGACTAAGTAAAATATTCAGTGCTACAAGGGAGTGAAGTTTGTCCCCTGTTGATATACACTAACTTGTCCTGTCATTGTGGGTGGGGATGTGATTTTGTTCTTGTAGTTCCTTGATTAGGCTGTTTACTGCTTGATTATTTGTCTGAGTTGGTAGTTCCTTGATTAGGGTATTGCTGACTGCTTGTTTGTTTGTCTGGTGTTATATCTTTTATTGGAAAATGCTTTTGTTTACTAACTAATATTTAATAGTATTTCTGCACTTTCTCATTACTAACCCAAATGAAGTAAATTAAAAATATTCATAATCTGACCAAAAAATAATTCCTGAGTACAGAACAATATGTTCCTTAGCCTTCTACCAGATAAGCATTTCTTATAGATGATTTCTGATTTTTTACAAGGGTAATTATATTTCTTAACAAAAAAAATCTTGTGTAGGAAATGGAAAATATTCCAACATTTAATTTAAATGTAAAAAAAATTTAACATGTAATTACAATTTAAAAATACTCTAGCATGGGCTTATTATATTAATTATTAGAACTTACTGAGATTCTAACAACATTATAAAAGATATGTTTGGGTAAAGCAGATCTCATTTTCTTTGATGACCTCTCTATACTGATGTAGGAAGTTGGTTCTCTAGCGGCCTACACAGATCCTGCTCTTCTCTCAATAACCTTTTGGACAGATGAGAAACCAGGAAGGGCTGAATCCTTGACGTTTATCCATAGTAGAAATGGACCTAATCACATCTTAGCAAGTTCCATGCAAACATTGTTTTGGATGCAATGTTATCAAATAAAACTTTGGATGTCCCATACATGTATTATTGGAGATAAGTAAGCTCATAAAGCACCTTAAAATTTAAAAGGTGTTGTACGCAATGGCAAAAGTTAACATGGGTTTACAAACGCATTGATATATGTGACTAACATTCTTTCTCACATATCCAGCACAGAGTACAATGTTCTTCAAATTTAAAACACAGTTGTAAAGATACTCACAGCAGGTAATGCAAAGAAAGAAATGCCAAGCAGTGCAAACCCTGCAGAAAGCAGCCTTCCTAGCCAAGTAAGAGGCGTTTTATCTCCATAACCAATTGTTGTTAATGTGATCTGAAAATAAACGAATATAAACCAGGGTGAAAAAAATGCAGACAGTACAGATACCAAGAATTTTAGAGACAGCTTATATATACAAGTATATACAAAAAGGAAACAGTGGGATTTCTCTTTGGGTGTTCACCCTTGCTTCAATGACATTTAGTCACTATGATCAGCTCTGCTTCTCAGGCTGCTTTGAATATTTTCAAAATACAGTACATTTTCTTCAGTCAGTGTGAATATGAACCTGACTAGGGGCTGGCAGTATGGAAGGGGGAAATGACTAGGCGCAGAGATGACACAGCTCCTCTCCAGCCTAGATATTCCTACATAAAAACACCCCATGCATATCCATTATGTCAGCAAAAAGATTTGGAAACCAGCATTTACAGAGATGTTGATATAGCCTGCTTGTAGGTTATTGTTTGTGTTCTTACGCCTTGCCCATAAGGGATGGCCTGCATAAAACAACCTGTTGAGCATTCTCCGCTTGAGCTTTTCCGTGGGAGCCCAGATTTTTCCGGAGACATACTTAATTCCTTCAGGTTTCAACTCACACTCTGACAACAAGATGATTGGTTGAAGAACTTCAACTTGTAGTTGAATTCTTATTTCTTTACATATTTTTCTTTATATATTTCATACATTTCTTCCTGCCACAATCATAAAAACTCTCAGAAGCTAACAAAAAGACAGTAGTGCCAATAAAAAAAATAACTGCATACAATTCACAAACTGTATCTGACAACAACATCAAATTGGCCTATGAAAAAACTCAGTTTTCAGCTGTTTCTGGAAGGCAGATAACATCGGAGCTGAATGAATCTCCAGCAAGAGGCTATTCCAGAGAGCCAGTCAAAATCACAGGGAAACAAGGAATTTTATACTTTATTCTTTATTCACAGAACATTGTTAGTGTGCTGAATGAATGAGAAAATGAAACAAGCAAGCAATCCACTAGTCAGCAAATCAATGAATAGTTTCATTACAGTCTTAAACCACAGTAAGATAACATATTGGTTCTTGGTTAGGACTTTAAAAAAAAATCTAAGTTTTTTCTAAGAACACGAATAACCTGCACTGGCTGTAGCTATATGATACCATGTATTGATGACCATTGTTGCTTTTAATGTCACTTGGACAAAGCCATGAAGTTGCTGTTACTTTAATCTTCAAGCAGGAATTCGGCAGCTCACTTGATAAAATTTTATCAGTATCGCTTACAAACATAGCAAGACAGATTGGTAAATATATGCTGGGTACTATACACTGCAAGCACATCTTACAATGAGAACTGTAAAGAATATTTCTTTGGAGAGAAATAATACTTTAATGACATAAAACTTTTTCACTGTGGTAAATGTAGTATTTTCAAACTCTTTGGGCTAAAATGGACATTCATACCACAGTCTCAATAAATACCATCACAGATGTCAAGGCTTCCTCCTTCCATGCCTGATCCAAACATCAGAATTTAGGCACTTATGGTTTTGAACCACATAGTTCCATAGGCAAAAATGCATTTGTATTGCCATTTATGATCTTAAAAAAATGTCTGAAATGTTTTTAAAGTACTAGGAATTTATCTCTGATTAGTTTAATAGAGATAAATTATATTTCCAAAATGAATGCAGAGCCAATTAAGAGCTGAAGTATTAACAAAGGACTAACAAAATTCTTATTTTCTTTTAGGCCTAATCATTCCACAGAGTTACTCTTTCAGTAAATCTGCATTAGCCTGTTTGATCAAGAATGAAACCCGAATGATCTGGCATTTACCTGATCATTGCCAGGCACTAGAGAGTAGACAGATGTTTCCAAGATCTATTTGATGAAAAATAAAGAAGCTTATAAAAAGGATAATGCCAACTGCCACCTACTTTTAATGACAATAAGGATTAAAATCTCAACAGCAGAGTCCTATTAGAGGCATTGTAGATTTTTGTATAATTGAGAATCAAAATATTAAAAGAGGAAGAATGCAACACACTTTCCTTGAAGAACAAAATCTACTCTGTTCTTTTTCACAAGTCAACAGGTTCTTAAGCTTTGACAAAAAATACCACAGCATTACATGTATCAGAGATCTCTTGCTCCATTTGAACCATGTTTCTAACACTTAAGGAGTTCTTAAGCAACAGAGCTGAATATAATTTTTCTTTTACACTGCGATGTACTCAATGTACTCAGAAGCAATTTAGGTTTCAAATTACAAATCTGGATTCAAAGTTATCTTGTGGAGGCAGGAAGCTAGACCTTGCTCACATTTCTCCAAATAATAGCATACAAAGTGAAGGAGAAATATACAGTAATATTATTATTTCTTGATCTAAATTTTAGAACAGTCCAATTTCTTTCCATGATATAACTGCATTTCATCCAATGAATATAAATCTAGATCGGTGACAAATTTGGATGCTTTCATTTTTAGTAGCTGTGGACAAGGATAGAACAAGAGGTCTGACTCTGACACCATACCAGCCTAAATAACTGCTTTGAGTGATGAACCACGATTGCTAACAAAATCAAGTCAATTCCCTAGCTGCTGCCTCTTGGCTTGATGTGTCCAGAGGAGCCACTTTATTATATCTAAACATTCCAGGATTTCCGGTGAGGATTCATAAAGAACTAGATGTCCCTGAAGAAGTGGGAGTTGGGGTGGAGATTGGTGGCCAGATGACAAATTCTGGCTGGTGAAGTCTCCAACAAAAAGAAAGATTGCGAGATAACCGATTCTTGTGAGTAGGCTGAAGAAATGGAGGTGTTTTTAGTTGACTTGTGAGTCAAGTGGATGGAAGTTGAAGGGTTTCAAACACGCTCACAGCCATAATGAAGCTTACACGGTCATCATTTCTTAATCATTTTAAATACAAGTTGAAGGACTTGAAAACATTTTTTTGAATAAACAGCAATAGGGTGATTGCAAATGGTCCAGATAGTTTTGAAATAAGATTTTGAAATTAATTATAAGAATGCTTCTTGTGGGAAGAGGCTGTTCTTTCGAATTCTTAAAAATAAATGATAAAATAGGACTTTAAAGATTGGATGCTACAGGAAGCAAGAAGGCATTAGAGATTACAATTAAAGGAGAAGAAAACTTAAATCTTATAAATACAGAAATAAGAAAACTTATAAATACAGAATTAGCAGAGTACTTTAACATTGGATGTACTGAAGAATGTTTGAAAACAATGGAGTTAGAAGCTAATTTTAAAAATGTCTGTCATTGGAAAAGATATTATGGAAGAGGAACAAGTTTTACCAGAGAAAATTGAGGCTGATTTGTAAGTAGATTTAAAATGACAGGCTACAAGAATAGAGCTATACAAATAACAAACTGAAAGAATGACTTGAATAACATTCTTATATTGGATTTACAAAACAGACTTGTTAAAAGTTTTGAAAGATTTTGTGAGAAGGGACAAAGAAAAAATGAAAAGGAATCAAGTTCTAGGTCAGTATTTGAAAGGATTAAAGATCAAGACTGTTAAAGGAAAGAATATAAATTAGTTTATTTGATCAAGATTAAAATTGATGTGTTGTTATCGATGGTAACCCTTAATGGGTTTCTGCTGACTAGGATTGAATAACAAGGCTTTAAAGATTTGTTAATAGATAAGAAATGGAATATGGGAAGAAGAGATTATTTGTTCTATTTTAAGAGAAAGTGGTAAGTCGCTAAAATTATTTATACTTGTGATGAAGGGAAAAGTCATTCTTAATGTATTTCTTTTTTTTTCTATAGTCCTATTTTTTCTTTCATTTCTATTCCTTCTATTTTTTCCTTCTTTTCTGCACTTCCTATTTATCTTTTTATTCTTTAAACGTTTTAGTTTGTATGAAGTGTGCAATAATCTAGACCAACTTGTCAGCAACCAATCATTCTATAATAGTTGGTATGAGTACATAATAAACAATAAATATAGAAGAATCTACAAGACAGATATGTTCAGACTATGTATCATGTGTCATTATATTTTTTAAAAATATGTTTTTAATAAAATGGCAAAAATGAGTAGGTATATTTTGGTGACAGTAAAATCCCCAGGTGGAACTCTTGAACATGTTGAATGGAAAAAATCTATCTTTTTCAGAACACTAGATTTGTAAAAACAGAATGATTTAGGCTGAGCCCATTGCTCAGTAAAGCGTATCCTCTGTACGAAGACAGTTCTATGTGGTACATGGCAAGTGATTAAAAATCCTCTGTCTGAACTCCTAGAAAACTGCTATCCTTCAGAACAGATACCCCTGTGATGTGTATAAAGTAGCTTCCTACTGGTTCTGTTTCAAAAGACTTTACATGGCTCATTTTTTCTTCCAGTTATTAGCAACAATGACATCTTCATGCATTCTCACATAGGAAACTTAATCCAAATTGAACTTAATCCAAATTCAGGTAATATCAAAAAGCATAATTCTCTAAATATATGACTGCTTTTGGACCTTAACAAAGCAAGACAGGAAGAAATCGATTCGTTTAAGTAATCGTGCTGGAGAAGGCTCCTGCGTATTCCTTGGACAGCAAAGGTGACTAACAAGTACAAGTATAACACCAGACATGTCAGTGGAAGGCAAAATCATAAACTGCGTCTCACTTACTTTGGCCATGTCATATGGGGGAACTCACTGGAGAAAGCAATCATTTTGGAAGAGTTAGCAGTAAGAGGAAACCAAACCATCAAAGAACATGGTGGTTGGACACCATCAAAGCTGACACCAACCAGAGCATAAAACAACTCAAAGAAGTAGCGCAACATAGGAAGATGTGGACCATAGAATCGCCAAAAATCAGACATGACTGAATGGATAACATCATCAACATCATGACTGCTTTATTATTATTTAATTAAGCAAATTTTAAAAATGAATAAAATGTGGTGATATTTTAATTAGTATAACTGTTAAGATTATAATGTGGCTATTATAATTAGTGAAATCTGTAGTCTAATTCTTATCAGATCAATTATAAAACAGGATATTCCAGCATGTAGAACTACTATCCCTTAGTGGTTCAAAAACAGCAACGTAGTCACCTTTATGAATGTATCACCAGAGGGAGTAAAGTGTAGGTGGGACACATTCAAGGCCTTGGTAGCAAATTATTAAGTAGGATATTATACAAGTGTTATCTGAAATAGGAAGCTCTCCTAACAAATGATGCAGTCATTTGGCAATGCCACATCCTCGAGGGATATGCCCATCTGTTGGGATGCATCTTTTAATAAGTATTCCAAATAAAAAGAAAATACATTCCAAATGAATAAAAAAATAAACTTTTTACTAAATCTGATTTACTTATTCATTTAATTTATATGGCAGTTCACTTGCCAAGTACCTTTAAAACCCTAAATGGTCAGACTATCTAAGAAACTACCTTTCCCATTATAAACCAATCTGGCTCTTAAAATCCATTTCTGGCATGAAGGAAAAGGCCTCTATTCTCCTATAGCAGGGGTAGGCAATCTTGGCTCTTTTATGACTCGTGGACTTCAACTCCCAGAATTCCTGAGCTAGCATAGCTGGCTCAGGAATTCTGGGAGTTGAAGTCCACAAGTCATAAAAGAGCCAAGGTTGCCTACCCCTATCCTATGGTACGGAAAGCTTTCCTTTAGGAGTTGTGTTTGGTCCCCATTCTCTCAAGCATTTTGAAATCTATAAAGACATATCTCTTTATCTTGTTTTTTTAAAATTGTTAACTGAATTTAGTATTAATTTTAGCGTTTTTATATATTTATATTTTGTGTTTTGTTGTTTAATTTTTTTTTAAAATCATACTGAATTCTCACTAGAACAGAAAAGCAGAGCATTAACTGAAGAAGAGCACTGCAAAATGATGGAATAAAATGTTAAAGTCATCTTCAGGCTCTTAATATGTATTGGCTATTTGTTAAATTAAAATCCAATACTCAGAGAAAATCATTTTGATTAAAGATCAATTTTTAAGGGAGGAGTTGTACAAAGGTCAATAGGCCAGGATTGATTGATTAGCTGACAGTGCTCAGTTATGGCTGGTACCACCTTGCAGCTGAGATTCTGTTCTCCTATTTATTGCCATCATATATAGTTATAGTATGAGGCTCAATCACAAAAAAAATGGAAATAGTTAGGCCAAGTTTTTTTTGAGGGCAGAGGATGGATCAAAGCAAGGGAAAGTATGTTAAATTAAGGCAAATATTCCTAAGCAAGAATACAGGTGTGTGTTTCTGGGTCTGTGTGTGTGTCTGTGTGTTTCTCCTTAAATCCTGTTGTGGACTGATTAATTGGGAATATTCAACACATTAAATTTTAAGCCAGATCTAGAAAAAAAAAGTGCTATACTCAAACAAATAAATTATTATGTCTTAACCTAATGACTTGTTTCACAAAATATGCTAAAATAACGCTGGATCACACAAACTGTTGTACCAAAACCTACAGAACTTAATTTTAGCCTGATATAATGTGGTTAGCAAACCCAGCTACTACAGTTAGGGTTAGTGTCTGCAAGACTGCAACTTCAACACCAATATTTTAGAGGATTGCAAGACTTCAGAGTCAAATGTCCTGATAGCTGCAAATTCACACTGCTGCTATGATAAAAGTAATGGCTCAGAGTCTAGTCTTTCATCATCCTGGTTTGAGAGTTAACTCCAATGGCTTTGCATTCTTATTTTTCTACAGAAAACTTTCAAAATCTTTTTCCAGAGTTACTGTTTGTCTGTTTCTATAATGCCTAGGGAAACAGTTTTTACACAGGAACTCCTCACTTAACAATCATGTGTTCAGCAACCGTTCAATTTTATGATGGTACTGAACAAGGAGACTTATGACCAGTCCTCACCGTTGTGGCTTTCACAGCATCCCTGCAGTCATATGATCATGATTTGGACATCTGGCAACCAGCTTGCGATAATGATGGACACAGTGTCCCACAGTGATGTGTTCACCATTTGCAACCTTTACTACCAGCTTCCAACTAGCAAAGTCAATGGGGAAGCCAGCAGGAGGTCACAAATGGCAATCACATGATGTTGCACTTAACGACTTAACAATGACAACTGGAACTGCTGCACCTGCTGTTGTAAGTTGGCAGAGTAATGTGATGTTGTGCCGTAAGACCATGTCACTTAGCAACAGAGTTTCTGGTCTCAATCACTGTGATTAAGCAAAGACTACTTATATTTATTTTGAAATATAAGCTGCACAATTACTTATGTCAGTTTCAGCTATGATCTTATATAACAATAGAAAGAATCATATTTTTTCCTGACTCTATAAAAAAGAAACATTTTACTAATGGAAAAAAAGAACTCAATAAGAATGTAAACATTTAGTTAAGAAGACAGAAACTATGTGTCTGGGCAAGAAGGACAGGGTAGTTTGAATGAGAAGCTATAGGTGGAAAAAAATATATGAGAGGTACCGTTTCCCCCCGAAAATAAGACTGAGTCTTATATTAATTTTTGCTCCAAAAGACGCATTACGGCTTACTTTCCAGTTAGGTCTTATTTTTGGCTAAATATGGTACTAAATGCATCCATATGGCCGACTATCTTAACTGGGGCTTATTTTTTGGGTGGGGCTTATGTTACGAGCATCCTGAAAAATCATGCTATGGCTTGTTTTCCGGTTGTGTCTTATTTTCGGGGAAACATGGTATGTGTGTATGAATAAATAGAAAAGAGAGAAAAAAAGGATATGCTTGAAATTCTCTAACAATGCAGAGATTTTTGTTTACGTCTAGGTGAAAGGATATGAGCACATCAGTTTGAGCATGAATCACAGACAAAGAAGTATTAAGGGATACATGGATAATGAGGAAGAGAGAGACAGAAATAGAAAGCAAACAAACAAGATCTCAAGCACTTTTTCTTTAACTCCTATAGTTTTGGATTTGGCTAAAATCACAGCTAGTATATAGCTCCAAATATAACTCCCCTTCAATAAAAAAAAAGCTATTATTGACTCCTTTACCAAACTACACTATAATAGGTCCATTCATTTAATAAGATTAAAAAGAATATTAAATACTGCAAAGCGTAAATCTGCTTTCGTCAATCTGCTATGCTCCAGATATATTAAGACAGCAACCTCCTAGAATTCCCAGCCAACCGTGGACATTTTTGGAAATTTATCAAGTTGCAGTCTCAATCCAAAGGGCACCAAACTGGGGAAGTTAGTTTATATTACAAAGTTTGATTGATTTTGTACTTACTGTGCCCCACCACAGAGCATCTGCATATGTAGAAAACTGAGCATTTGCATCTTTTTCAACCAGATAGACAAGGAAGGATGAAAAAATAAGTACTAAAAATCCAATGTACCAAGCTGTGATTAATTCCTGTAAGGTGAAATAAGAATAAAAAATAAACATTGCTGATAATTTATCTGAATTCATGTATTTGTTGGAATAAGAGATTAACAGAGTTCATTTTAGTTAAATGTGAAAAGTTCCTTGAGTATACAAATTATCCCTTAAATGAAAAAAATATAATTAATCATGCTCTTCCAAGGCTTCAGAATTCAAACTACTTCATTTATGTCAGAAGTTGGATGTATCTAATGGGCTTTTAAATTTTTTTGTTCAATCAGCAGAACTTATTTCTATGACAAATCTCAGATTATCTTAAAAAAATTATTGCAACTTTCAAAAGAGTATTTCTATTATAACGTACAGATTGCAGTCCATACATAAGACCACACAGATTTTTTAATATGAATAATTTGTCCCATAATTCTTTTCTGAAGTTAGAAGGGATGGATGGATAAGAGTGATGGATGGATAACAGATATACACATGCAAACACATACTCATGAAAGGTCAACACACATCAAAATATTGCAAGTTATTTGGATCATTCGTTTCAATTTGGAATTCTCTTTTTTGTAGCATACATTCAATATATTCACAAAAATGAAATATATGGATGGGCCCCTACCTTACTATGTGCATAAACCACTGAGCCTAACAATTTCCAAGTTCCTCCTCTTCGGTCCATGCGTACCATTCGAAGAATCTGTAGGAAACGAAGACTTCTGAGTGCTGATGTTGCAAAAATGTTACCCTGAGTTTTTGCAGAAACAACTGCTATTGAAGCGATGAGAACAATGATGTCTGAAAAAAATACATCACAAAATATATTAATGCAGATAGGGACATTTATAGTCAGTCAGCATGCCAACATCTGATGAACTGGATTATTGATGTTTAATGTTAAATATTAATTAGTAATTAGGAACAGAAATAATTAGGAACGGAAATAATTGGTTAATAGTACCCACCTCTTAAAGAAAATGTTCACTGCTGATGCTGATAAATTCTAGCATTTCTAGATTAAGTTGAATATCTGGGGATTACTGAATTTTTCATAGAAACTCTTATCACATTATTCTTAAGGCTCAATTTTATTTGGTGTGCTATTTAAAAACCAACCTAGGAGAAATTATCTAAATTATCCAAATCACTTAGCAGCATTTAGAAATTGTCAAATGACAGTAGCAAAGAGTAATCTTTGAGAAGGAATCTCTGAATAAGAAAGATACTCATAGATATTATAGTCAAGAATATCCTTTGAAGAAAAAATGCTCTTTAAATCCATGGGCTTTTCTGAGGCAATTTATATTAATGTTGCAATTAATTTCATGCTTAAAAGGCAAATGTGATTATGTTTTTCTTTTTGCATCATCAAATGGGTTAAATAATTGATCTTTAATTATTATGTTTATTCAGTAGCAACAATCCGTATGTGATTTCTGATAGCTTTACTCCAAGTTAATTTGCTGATGCGATGGATACTTGGTATGGTCCAGATGGCCAAAATTACAAAAACAGCATAACCACATAAGTTGTAGGTGGTTATCATACGTATGATTTGTTCAAGCTTATTCATAAATATACTGCTGGTGTGGGATGGAGCCATGCAAAATGCCCAGTGGCAAAGTTGAAAACATCCTTTAAAAACCCACTTACAATCTGCTCAAATGATGGTGATATATTGATATGTGTTTGGGATAAGTGACAAAGAAACTGAGGGACAATTAAAGTATTATATCAGTATCATGTACTTGACTATTAAATTTATAAGCATGCAATTTATACTATTAGGGAAGCAAAACAACATGATAACAGTTTATAAACATGATTTCACATATAATAAGATATATTAAGGGAGTATTCAGATTCTCATATTCTGATAATATTTTTACTTAGTTGTTTTATATACAGTGCAGCATTTTTCTCTTAAACTGACTTTGCTTAGAGGCAACTTGAGTTACTTAATTGATAAATCTTAAGGAAATCATCTGAATGTTATTCTCTGATTTCTTTAAGAGGTTATAATACAATTCCAAACTCTTCAGAGCACTCTGTACATGGGCATCTTGTTAATTACCAATTTGGGAAATAGGTGTTTCAGTCTTTCCAGTATTTGTCATCCTGTTTCAACAGCTTTGTCTTTTAAGATAAAAGGAACTGAAGTATTTCAAATATCACAATAATCCTGAATGATGCAGGTACTAGTAGGTGAAAATTGACTTCTACTATTGCTGCTATGTACTGTTCTAAGATAGAAAAAAATCAGAAAATTGGATAATCTACTTGAATTACCTTTTTTTTAGCATCTAATATGTCCTGACCATTCTAACAGTGTGAAAGAGAACAATTTAATGTTAGTGCTCCTTATGTCTGTCTCAATCAAAATAGAATAGGTTTTCAATATGACAACCCCATGAACTGAATTACTTAATTTCTCCTCTCTTACGTAGAATTTATCTAGTTATATTTTGAACTTATTTTGAATAAAGAATAATTTACAGCTACTCCACTTCGGGATTCTTTTTATTGATTAAAAATGAATAGAAAAAGTATGAATGAATGAGTAAAGCTATCTACCCAGAGTCACCTTATAGGGGAGATGGGTGGCATAAAAATGTAATAAATATAGGGTTGCCAGGTGTCCACTATTTGAGTGGACAGTCCACTTTTTTCACATTATGTTCACTATTTCTTTTCACAAAATAGTGGACATTTTTTTTATTCAAAAGCTTTATGATGAAATGGTATGTAATCTAAAGCTGTACAGTCTACTTTTTTTTACTACTTAACACCCCCCCCCACTTGTCCGTTATTTTTTGGAAGCAGACCTGGCAACCCTAAATAAATAAATAAAATAAAGATTAAGTAGACAGACAGAAAGATAGGTCGACAGACAGACTACTCAGTATTTTCAATGGTACGCACACATACACACACACACACACACAAACCACAAGCACACACAGTGTGTATATATGTATGATTACGTAAAACTTGTCTTAGACTGAAAACTATTCTGTACGTACAAAAGAAAGTAATAATTTCAAATATCTTGGCAGTAAAATATATATAATGAGATATTAGTCCTCAGGAGTCCCAATTTGTCTGTCTATCTATTGTTATGGTGAAAGACTAAAGGTCATATGTCAATGCACTACACATACCAGTGAGAGGTGGCCTACACCATGCTGGCCTGAAAGACAGTTTCTAATTTAGCAATCCTAGAATGGACAGAATAGCATGAACATGCTTGCAGTAAATTGGACTTAACAGTTCAGTTTGTGGCATAAATGGGTCAGTTAATTTTTTTTGGGGGGGGTCTCCCTTCAATGGCTGCGACAGGCTTTTATTTGAAAAAAGAAAAAATAAGAACTGTA